AAGTCTGCAAAAGGTGAAGAAACCCTAATTTAGATGCCATCCTTTGTCTGTGTGATTCCAACTGGTGGGACAGAATAGTGCTCAATGATTGCTGTACCGCTCTCTTTCTCTCAGTCCCTCATTAATTAGGCAAGGTCAACAGCACCCAACATTGCTTCTCCCTCATATTAGCTCACGGCGTTTTAGGGTTTTGTTTAAATTTGAGTTCTTCAGGTTGGAAATTTTAATCCCATGTTTTACGGTCCAGAATTTAGAGCTCTTTTTAAGACCCAGGATTCATGACAACAGAGTTTGAGGTGGGTCGATGGAAAATCTAATTTATTCGCAAGGAACTGTGAAACTTGTTCAGTAGTATGAGTTCTTCCGATATTATTTTCTTTTTCAGTATGGGTTTTAAAGCATGTCGTAGGCAGTAGAAATAGACGACATTAAATGGTGGTGTGCAATAAAATTATTGACGTAAAATCTGAGTCTTCAAAGAGTTGACTGATATGAATTGAATGTTGGTTCGATCCTAAAGTTTCTACAACACATGTTCTGTTATTCTTCTTTCTTAACTCGATTATCGTTTATTTTTATGTTAAGATTAATTAATTACACAAATCCTACTTGCCAATGAAGCCAGGCCAATGTGAACTTGTGCTCCCATGCACACATTGTTTTGGAAGAATATGACCTACAATTTTGGAATGTAATCTTCCCAATTTTTACTATTAGATGTGATAAATGAGAGAGAGCAAAAGAAGAAAGAAAGAAAAAGAAAAAGAAAATCGAAAAGTAGCAACCCGAAAGGAGCCTGTGACAAAAATTCGTATAAAACATATCTTAATGCACAAGAAGAGATACTTCTTTCAACACATGTATTTGTAAACCCTCACCAGTATATGCTAAACATTTCATTGAATCACTAAGATCTGTTGTTGGTTGAAATTTAAGTACCACATATAAAATTTCAACTCTGTTTTTTTTTTTTTTTTCATTGAATTTAATATAAGCAATGAGTTTGCTTGTTGTCATGTATTTGTTGTATAATTGATCAAGTATATAAAAAATATAAAAAAATTATACAACAAATTTATCAAATATATAACAAATACAAGCAATGAGTTTGCTCTTTGTTGATCTCAAATTGGCCCCAACCCATGTCATAATATTTGCCTTTAGTAGCTTCTTAATATTTAAATGATTCCTCCATTGTTATTTGAATTTGATTTTTAAGTGCATGTATGATCCTTTTAAAAACTCTTTTACGTTTGCAAGTAAGTTTTCTTTAGTTGAAAAGTTATTTTTACATTAATTGTTCTTATTGCAATTATTTTTCTTTTCTTGTAAGATGATGAATTTGATAAGAACAACTAGTCAACTCTTTCTTTTGTTCTTCTTAAAAAAATTCAGATATATATATATATATATATATATATATAAAGGAAAATAATACAGCAACCCAAATTTTTACTAAATCGACCCACATGCTCTATTCCTAGTTGTTCTTCCATTCCCTTGTTCTCTAATATTGCCTCCATTCCCAAAGTTCTCAACTCCCATGCCCCTGTCTTTAGCAACGGTTGAAAATGGGGAACAGCTGGGAACAAGGATAGGGGCTCCAAGGGAGGAATGATACTTAAGATGGAGTGGATTGCATATATATATGAAATTACTAAACCAGGATACTTAAGATAGAGTGGCTACATATATATATGAAATATTTTTTAGATAGTGAAAAAGTATCAAAATGAATGACATGACATTGCATATTGATGGTGTACCATTTTTGAACCATCCAATAGTTGACAAGGATAAGTATTTGTATATGAAATTGTGAAGTAATTTATGAAGTTACATAAACATTCCAATAAAATCTTAGGAAACATATTGTGTTTTCAGTTTTTTTTCATTAAATTTAATTTTATTGTGCAGAAAAATACTATATAATTAAATGCAAGAATATTTTAAAGTAATTATTTGTGTTAGGTATTTAAAAAGTATATAATTAATTCATATACACTTGCAATATTAATCTTTAATACAAAGAAAGCATCTCTCAATAAGATTCATACCATTCAAAAGCTTTTGCAAATTTACATATATGTACAAAGTGTTGCTTGGATCATTTTAAATAAAAAAGCATAGATGTTTATTTATTTAAAGTTTTCAAGGATGTATATATATATATATATATATATATATATATTTCCAAAAATATTCCACTCTTAATTCCAAATATTATGAGTAATTTTTTATAAGAATTTATCATCATTTAAAAAAAAATACAAAATACTTTGATAAGAAATTCATGATTTAATCAAAAAAAGAGAAAACTTGATCACAAGCTGCTACAATGTTCTATACTTGCTAAAAGTACTGAAAAATTATGCTAAGTTATTTAAGTTTGTTTCTTGTTCAGCACTAAATACAATAAACTAGCATTCAAAAATTATCTTTTTATAAATAATGTACAACCACTATAAAATTACCATTTCCGAAAATTACCAAATATTGCAAATGTCAACAATGTGGTGCAATGTAGTTGTAACATGTGATTTAAAATAAATCTATTTAAAAATAAACACCAAAATTTAGACAAAAAAAGAATATAAACAAAAAACCTACCCATGCTATGTTTTTGTTATTTATATTCATTTAAAGCCAAGAAATTATTTAAGAAAAATCAAGGGAATGTTAAATAGACCAAAGTTTTTACTAAATTGACCTACCCATGATAAAGAATATGACAATCATGATGAATGTGGTTAATTTTCATTGGTTTTGGATCTAATAATGGAGAAATGAATTTAGAGGTCATTTTTTTTCATGATGGGTGGATAAATTTAGTAAAAACCTTGGTCTATTTAACATTCCCCAAAAATTATTACATACAAAATCTTTACTTCATGTATATATGCTATTTAGTGCTGTGGTTATATGGTTATTAACTATAACTGAATTTAATTTTAATTTCATTCACTTTTTATTTTGTAAATGAAAAAAGGCCTACATAGTTTGATTGTTAGTGGTGTTTTGAAAAGAATGCAACTCAAAAATAATGTGATTCAATTTTCCTTTTGAGACATATTTCTGAAACTATATAGAACATCCTGGTTACAAAATTACAGTACAATAATTTATATTGTAAAAATCAAACAGCATGTTCTTAAAATATAAAAACACAAACATATTTTTTGTTTGAAAGCTTTGTCATATTTTAAAATTTTAACTTATTGTAGCATTTTATTTTATACTCTTTGCATCCCTCAAGGCTTTATTAGAGTGCAATTAGATATCAAGAATATTCACAAAATGGATTACTATGAGTTTTTGTAAATTTTTGTTTGAAATTAGTATGTGTAGTTAGTACAAATGAAAAGAAAAAAACAATGAATCTATTGTTAATTATGAACAACTCTTATCCCAATTCACAATATTCTTGTAGTTTTAAGAATATATATATATATATATATATATATATTGGTCTAATGTGTTGCTTTAATACACCTGATTTTTTCTTTCTTTAATTTTTTTGTTGTAAAAAATTTATGACGTGTAATTTGGCATTAGCTAGCTCTTATACCACAAATGGATAATTAAATTTACGTCTCACATAAAATTGTAATAAATAAAGGATCTTTTACATATTCTTTTACTTATTTAGAAAGAGTGTATTTGTATTGTGTAAATCTCTAAGATTAGATTTTTTTGAATTTTACATGTAAAAGAATCATCAATTGTAATGTATAGAAGTAATTGTAATTAATAAAGATATAATAAAAAATTACATTGTTAGAAATATATCATCAATCCTCAACACTAAAAGCATGAATTTGCAGTACGGTACCATTTTATTTGAAATCATTATATGTAAGCAACAAGTCAAAACGGAAATAAATAGATCAGATAAATAAACCAAACATCTCAAAATATTTTGATAAAAAAAGAAATTGTATTATATAACATTGTCAAGAAGTTATATCATATTATGATCACAAAACTTATTTCATTGACACATTTTGATTAATGCAACACTTTTATAGCTAATGAAAAAATTCCACTCAAATACCCTGTACTACTTAAAAAAATTGACAAAATGAATTAAACACCTACATATGCTTTGCTGTAGGAGATTTCAACACAAAACATATCTTATTTTTCTTTTAATTTATTTAATTCTTTTGATGATTGTGTGCTCTTTCTTTTCGGGCATTTCTTTGTGCACATACTAAGAAACCATAATTATATACACTAAAACCTTGCTGTGGTGCTTTGATCCTCTAGGTACATTAACCTCCTCATTTTAAGTCCGTAGGCATCCATGACAAAAATCAAACAATTACACACACTTACACACTCATTCATGAACCACGATTACATATACACTGATGAATCTAGTTACAAAATGCGACCCATTTCCAATCCAAATCGAAATCAATCAGACACTAACATCGCCTGAGCTTCTCCAATGGACTGGACACACTCTACTTTTTCAGAACCAGATCATCTGCGTCACGGAAAGCTCGATTCACTCCAGCTGGGTGATCCAGCGGTGTCTAGCATGAACAACTAGGGTTGTGCCGAACAAGAGATCCCAGCTCCCCGAAGCTCATCGATCGAAGCATGCCAAACTAGACCATTTAGTGTCCTCGCAACGCTGTGAGGTCCAAAGTTCACGAACTGCCACAAACGAGCTGGTCCATAGATCCTTGGCAATACAAGAGTGGACTCAGTACACTGCAAGGCAGTAGAAAAAGGGTACCGAAGTAGGGTGCAAGCCTACACACGGACACGCGTGCCTCGGGCACAGTGCGAACACCCTGACACCACGCACACGGTGGGGGAAACCGACGGCGATAGGCTGCGACGAGACCCGACCCATGGGCGTTCGGAGCACAAGGACGTTCGACACAGTGGTGACGACGACGACGCCGCGGTTGCGGTAGCGGTCGGTGGTGGAGACGCTGGTTTTCCAAGAGCCCCGGCGCGGGAGGGGGTTCATTGATCACTACCAACATGTTCACACATCGCCGCTCGCGCTGCAGCAGCTCCCCCACACAGAAACTCGACTGATCGCGTTGTACGGACCCTGCCCACGCCCTCATTGAATGCGGTGTACGCGATCCTTGGTGTGCGAATTTGCAGTCGTAAATTAGTGCGCGCAGGAGGGGGGTGCGAGTAGTAGTACTAGGTGACGCTAACCTGCTTGCACTGCTTGCGCTCTTTCCGGTTTGCAGGGAGAGGCCAAATACATCTAGATTCCGGGTTTCGGGTCTGTGGGGAGTGAGCAGCAGCCGTGGGGTTTGTTTCATGTGTGCCTGTGGGGGAGTGTTGGCGCGTCGGCGTATATGTGATGCGTCGATGATGCGTTTGATGTGCTAGTGGTGGGGCGGGTTTAGTCAATCTTGTAGAGGTTCTGGAGTTTTCTGGGGTCTCGGGGTCGTGCCGGAAGTCTGGTATGGCAGGAGCGGTATTGTAGTTTTTAATTTTAGTTTTAATTTAATTTATTTATTTTCCGAAAGTGGGGTTGTGTTCCCGGATTTCAAATCGTCCCGTGTGATCTTGCTTGATTCCTTCCTGGCGAAGGTGCATTGAGTGCTGCTTTGTCGCTGGTGTTGGGGTATCTAGAGGCAAGGAGCAGCTCCAGGCGGTGATTGTGGGCCTTGATACTTGCAATCGTGACTGTTGGAGCCGGGCTTCTTTGAAGTTTTTATGCTAGTGATTGCAGCGAAGCGGATGCTTATTGCTGAGTTATAAGCTCAGGAACTGGTTGTGGTTGAGGGTCGAGTATTCGTGACGCTAGCTCGTTCGTCGGCTGTTTCAGTGCTGTTGTGCGCATCCCTTCTTGTCTAGTTCAACCCCTTGCGATTACCTATTCGCTTCCCGTGCTGAAAGAAATTTCCTGAAGTGAAATCTCCGTGTTCGTTATGAGCGTGTGTTTCTGGAGGCTATTCCTAATAATTCGGAGCTCTAACGCTGAGCGTTAGGTGAATTGACAGGCGGGCGTAGTCAGCGCATTAGCTATCATGTTTGGACGCCGTTGTCGTCTTTTTGACTTGGAAAGAAAGTATTGCCACTAGTATTGAAAGGAGAAGAGGCATCTTTTCTCAGGGAGCAAGGCTACCTCATGACGAGAAGATTGTAAATTGCAGTAGTTAGACGAAGCTGGTTCAGGAAAATGGGCGCTACGTAGTTCGCTCTAATTGCTACATCCGCTCATTCATAATATCCGTCAGTTACTGTTTCCATACCAGCTTAGCGCATGCTTCAGGCCGGACAACCGTGATTCAATTAGTTTTTTGGCTCTGTACGTAGATTGTTACAATTGACACACAATTACACATCTTATCCGGGGCAGGATAGTTTACCCTTGCAACTGTGCTTTTGAAGATCCGGCGCAGCGAACTGGTAGAAATTTTACAACACGGCATGTCGCTGTCTTTTAACAACTCAGAGGCGGGATGCATGCTGTTCTATGACTGTCATCGTTCGGTGCCAGCTCCCTTTCTCACCAAGACGTACCATCTGGTGAGCGATCCTTCAACAAACGAAATTGTGTCGTGGGGCGAGGACGACACAACCTTCGTCGTTTGGCGCCCTCCTGAGTTTGCGAGAGATCTCTTACCCAACTATTTCAAACACAACAACTTTTCCAGCTTTGTGCGACAACTAAATACTTATGTAAGCTCCGCATTTTACACAAATATGATGATAATTCAGATGGAGCGTTCTCACATAGCTAAGTAGCGTTTCAGTGAGAAGTGCGATTCACTCGAGGAAGGATGTTGCAAAAAGTTGAGTACTGAATCCTCAGTACAGGGAAGTTCGGTTGGCTGCGAATTTCACTTGCTGGTGCGCATTTTAAAAAAAATGAAAAGAAGTAAAAAACAATAACGAAAGATTTCTATACGTTGTCTTTGATTCTAATCTCGTAATGATATAGTGAGGGACACAATTCATTACATTTTCGCAGTAGGAAATTTCTTGATGTGGAGGAAGTCACTGCATCTGAAGCGGGACTTCTAATTTTCGCAGGTTTCAGGATCCCCTAGCTCTGGACTTATGGCCGTGCACAAAGCTGATAATCCTTTGCTGAAACTCTTCACGTGCGTGATGGTGACAGGGATTCAGGAAGGTGGTGCCCGACCGGTGGGAGTTCGCGAACGATTTTTTCCGACGAGGAGAGCGGCACCTCCTTTGCGAGATATACAGGCGGAAGGCATTGCAACCTGCTTCATGCTCCGGATCGGCAAAGCAAAGTCGCTCGCTGTCGCCGTCCACTTCTATCGAGGAGCAAGCATGGTCGCCGGTTTCTTCTCCAATGTCGTCCCCATTGCCCGTTATTGTAGAAACCCAGCATCTTACACCTCCGGTCATGAGCATCTCCGATGAGAATGAGAGGCTTCGAAAGGACAACAACCTGCTTCTCTCCGAGATTTCTCGTCTTCGCCGCTTATACGAAGAAACCATCTACATGATCCAGCACCAGTTCAAAGGATTAACCTCAGATCTTACCAGCTTTACCAGCAGGTACCAATCCTTGCAATGTGAGTCAAGGTCATTTGCAGGGTAATTGTTTTCTTCTCGTCACTGCAACACCTAAATTTTGGGAGGTGATCATTATTGATAGGTTTCAAGGGTTTTTTGTCTTTGATTAGCAGCTCTCTTTCTGAATCGAACGAAAATCCTAAGCCTAAAGCATTTCCAATTTGAGTTTTAATGATTAGTTCTACATGATCCTAATTCCGGGTTACCGATCTCCATCACTTGCTTCAAGTCTTTCAGATAAACTAATGCGAACTTTGTTCAATTCAGTTTTGAGAATAATTTGATGAATTGCTTCCTATACATAGCTGCTGTAGCTACTCTGCCAGCTTTGAAAATATCAACAAATTTGAATAAGTGCATGTTGTGATGGGTACTTTTAGTGCACTTCTGGTTTGTGTGCAACATTGGCAGCGAAGAGATCAGCGTTGGAAGTGTGGAGTGTTGTCATTCAATCCTCTTTTGAATGAGTTTTTTGATGATCGATTTTGGTGACTTTTGGTCGCAGGATTGGAGCCAGCAGCCAGTCTCTAGATCATTCAGTACCATCTACAACAGTGTCTGGCGATGCTGCAATGCAACATCGAAACTTGAATCCATTACCTCTAGCCTCAAGAATGGATTCTGAAATCTACGAGCTCTCTGTCCAAGTTAGAACCACGCACCAGCAATACTGTAAAGCCGGCCCCCACCCTGCCTTCGTAGAGAGGAGACCACAGGCAGAGATCATCAATACTGTCGACTCAAAGCTCTTAACCGGCCCGAAGTTAACAACGGCTCATGCGTTGTCAAACCCCAGCAATAACCCTGTAAAGTTGTTCGGTGTCCCTTTGCATAGCCAAGTTGCAGGCACGGAGCCAGTCAAGATGATCAGACGTGAACCAGTTGCAGTTGCTGCTGCCGGAATGAAACGTTTGCAACCAGATTCTTCTTGGGATTCCGTTTCTGATATCAGCGAAATGAACGTCCCTTTACGCGACCAGGTTTCCCTAAGACCTCCTCCTCGAAAGTGCCTGAGGCCGGAGTCAGAGTTGAGACCTTCCACTGTTCAGGCGCCGTGGCTGCAGATTTGTGCCACCCGGGACGAAGGAGTGTACATTTGAGAAAATTAATATTTAATAGCATTGTGAGTTTAACCTTCCCATAAAATTTTCCTTTTACATAACATTTCCCTTAGTGAAGACAGAGGCATGCAACATCGATCAACCAATGTGCAGTTACATAGTATTAGAACTTTCCATGAATTTTCGATCCTTCTCGCGGGTTTAGTTAGTGACATGACTCTTGGTGCATGACACATCACGAGTTTGTAAAATTTTGGAGGCTAAGGTCCGACACAAATTGGAGCTTTCCCGTGCTTCTGCTGTTCTTACAGTTACTCTTTGTACGAGTGGATTGATTGGTGTATCATGGTATTTAATTGACTGCTTTGTTGGATGGACTTTGAGCTTTAAGTTTTATTTCTGAACATTAAAGTTGGTTGCCCATTTCATTTCTCTTGCCAACGATCACGACCCCCAAACTTCCTGTAGATGATACAGCGGACTTACGTAATGGATAGGTTTTACGTAAGTCACAGCAGAAAAGTTCTTCCAGCCAAAAGCTCTAGAACGTGGTTGACGAGATTAATCTATTCATCGTGGAGGACAATGAAGTGACGCTTCGAGAATGTCAACCTCTTCAACGGATCAGCCCTGCCAGATTTGAATCACAAGTGACCCGTGAGGAAGCCATTCAACTTTAAGACTAGCCACACTTGCAGAGGATGGGTCCTTCTCCAATTCAATCTATGTACATGATCTTCTCAGAAGGCCAAGGTAAAGCAAGTGATCGTGATACTTTGGAAGTGATGTACCAAGCGCCAACCATGTCCCAGCCCTTGTGGAGAAACATGGGCGACTCACGAGTAATAGTCCCGGCCTGACCACATTCTCGTGACTGAATGCAATTACCCTGGTCTCTTACCATATTTTTTACATCCCCGGGAATATGGACAGAGTGAGTCACACAAGAGAATAATTAATGGAGTGAAGTGAAGTGAATGAGGGGTTTGCATGTGAATCCAAAGCTGCCACTAATTTCAATGATGTCGTTGACGCACGCAGTAGACATTTCGGTGCAACATGAGCGTACGCTACCATTGTACCGCATCCATTAGCCTGTTTCTTCTTACGTGAGAAGTTAAATTTCGGAGCCAAAAAAATGTTGATGTGACGTCCCTGTATCTCCAGTTTGTGAGAGTCTAAGTCCTGTCTACAATTTATAGGTGTTCTCTTTAAGTGGGAGCTTTCGTATGATGAGTTGTTTCTGAAAAGATCAACAGGGAAGATTTTAGGCTTTGCCGAAGTTTAGATTAATACCTAGAGTGATAAATGCGATATCATTTGGATATTTCATCTGACCAAGAGTCCACTTGGGACCAGAACTTAAAATTAGCTGGGCACAAATGATTGCGCTAATGAGCAGTTTAATCGAGTATGTGTGGTGACAGCCAATCAGGACACAAGTAACGTCCAACTTGCCTGCACCACAAGTCAACCACTAAATCATACATGTAGCGTTCTAATTAGCAGCCATTAGGTATTATAAATAGCTTGAATGGAAAGCTCACCAAGAGTACTACCCCTGGAAGCCCTTGTCTCTTTCGCCAAGTACTCAGTGACTTTGCTAGCAGGTTGTCCATGGCTGTGAAAGGCTATGTCCTTGTGCAGTGGTTGAAAAATCATCACATGTGGCGAAGTACTAAGCGTGCTTCTACGAGATAATGTCCTTCTATGAACGTTCTTGTAGTGAGTACTTGATGCATATATCAACATACATTTAAGGTAAAAGCCCCCATCACTGAGAGGGTGTACCTCTGGCCGGACATCTGTGTCCTGTACAGTTCAAGAATCGTGTATTGATAGGAAAACTCCTTTTTGTACTACTTCCACCTTTCATCATCAGGCAAGCAATTTGAGGTTGTCATATCCTTGTTTTGACATGGGGAGTGTCCTGGGCTCGGGGTGGAAGCTGCGATTCACCAAGGTAATCCCATCGACAGAAACTGGTAGGTGCTGTGTTACTCATGTAAAAAAACATCCTCTGAATTATTTAAGGCTCATTCACTCCCGTGAGTTTTTCAATTGCTGACAAAATTTAAGGGGTTATAGCATCAGTGAATTCTGCGTGAACTACTCTTGAGGGGTGACGCTATGTTGAAACTGGCACGAGTAAAGTGAACTCAGTTAACTAGATAGAGATGACAAGCAAAGCGACCGCTAATCGACTCACATATGTCTCATTAGTAAACTCGAAATTTGGACGTTGTTGAAAACAAATTGTAGATGTAAGATGTCATTTGATGCAAGTCAGGGATGGTTTGTCTCTTGTTTGCTCAAGATGAAGTTTGTATGCTTCAAGACATTGCTAAAGTGCAAATTTCCTAACGTACGTAGACGCTTCTAGAGGGAAGATATGACACGCCCTTCCATTCTGGCAACGTCGTGGATACACAGCAGCCAGTTGCTCACTGTGTCTGATTCGCTGCATTCAATAAATACACTGTCATACTGTTCCCATGTGCTCTCTAATCCTCGCCACCAACTGCACCACGGTCGGAACAAGCTGCTTTGGGTAATTTCATAGTCACTCCAGAAGACAAAAAACTGCAACACATACACAAACCTCATGATAGAGTGGAATAGCAGATCAATGGCAACTTGTTCAATCAACGACTTATCCATTCAACCTAGTGCAATCAGCCTGCATTGTTATGAAAACACAAAAAAATAAAAATCGAAGTGATCATGGAATACAAAACTCTCCTCAATCTCACACCCCTGAACTTTCCGATTCTCTCCCCCTAAACCCTTGAAGTCATTGGGTACATATATCTTTTGGAACAAGACAGAAGAATCCCCCCCCCCCCCCCCTTCAGCTATCGGAATTGGTACGCTTGCATGATTTTAATGAAGTCTAAGCCTTGGGTCGACGTTGTGCTATGAATACTATGAAAGCAGTAGAACACCCAGATTTGCAGAATTGGGTGTTCTCCATTGTTGCAGCTTGGAAGGGATCCGTCGTCGCCGGCGTATCATCCACTAAGAGGAACAGCAGGAAATTATCAGATAAATCGGAGTTCTGGTAGCGCTTTTTCAGGTGAGAGGCGATGGTTCTAAGCCATCATAGTGGAAAGGAATTGTGTAATGTTAGCATTGTGCCTGAAGGAATGTTCTTCTTTGATAGGAGGGGGCTCCAAAATACGTGGTTGGTTAATGGATCGGCAAAGCAAAGAATATATGCCCAGCAGCGAAAATTCTAAATAATCAAAATCTAAATAAATAACCAAATAAATAAATACATTTGTTTTTAAGATTGACTTTCATGAAAGTAGCTATTACGTTTAAGTTATTTATTCGAATTTCTTATTAAATTTAACTTGAGCTACGACAAAAAAATAAAATATTTTATACATTTATTATTAAAAGTAATACTATTGTTTAATACAATATCATCTATACTTTAAGTTTTGTATCTAGTTTATTTTGTGATTTAAATTTTTGGATTTTAAGAATATTTTATTGCTTATTTCATTTGTCTTCTAAAATTAAACTTATTTGAAAAAATTAAAAAATGTAGAATAAACGTGTTAAGTTACATTTTTTTTATAAACAACCAATTAATGTAATTTAAGAAATCAATTAATAAAATTATTATTGGCTTTAATATTTTTTTATTTTTATACTTAATATTTAAAAAAAATTAAGATATTCTAACATCATCCAATATGTATACATATATATATATATATATATATATATATATATATATACATGTACAAATAAACTCTTTTATTTATCAAAATATCTAAATCAAAAAAAATTAAATTAAAATTAAGATACGGACTCTTAAATTTACTTAAAATTTTAAATGAATTTAAAATATTAAATTTAAACTATTTTTTCTTAAGAATCATTAATTTTATGGTTTAATTTTGTGTTATATATTGTTGCTCACTACTTACTTTAGATAAACTAAAATGTTTTACAGATCAATCTATTACAAAATAATAAAAAAATAGAAATATTTTTATTCAAATTTTTTGACAATAAATTTATACCACTTTCATAAATAAAATTTTAATTTAGACTTTAAATTTATTTTTTTCACTTTTTTATACATTTATACGTATATTTACACACACATAAAAATTATAGCTTTATCTATATTAATTATATAATATATTATTTAATTTAATTTAATTTAATTTAATTTTTATTATATATTAATATTATATATAAAAATATTTTAAATATATAAAAATAAAAATGATCAAAATCATCGATTTTTTTTTATATTTATTTAAAAATATGAGTAAATTTTTCTTTACTTTATTTTATTCTTTTCCAGTAAAAGTTTTATCTTAGTAGAAGAAGATAATTTTATTACTCTTGATATAGATTTATTAATTAAACTATATTGTATACGATTTAGATTTGTAAAATATTTTAAAATAAATAAATTTCTATTTACTTAATTTTTTTTATTAATCTTAGTGTAAATATACATTCATTTTTTGAAAAAATTACACAATTTTAAAAAATAATACATATATATTTTCAAATTATTAAAAAAATAAGCTGGTATAAAAAAAATTTCTATGAAGTAAAAAATCAATGATTTTAATCCTAAAAATATGATTATTTACAGTGATGTTTTTAATAATAATTTGCAATGATGTAGGTCAATGTTTGCATATATATATATATATATATATATATGATTAGATTGAATTTACATAATATTTGTGTATAATTATGTGATTAGATTAAACTAGAAGAATAGTATAACAAGTAGGTATCTAAAGGTTATAATTTTGTTTTTATGAATATAGAGAGGCTCAATAAAATTAATAAAAATACTTGTTTGATGATTTTTACTTAATATAAGAGTATAATAGAGTCTTAAAAATTAACATATATATATATATATATATATATATATATATTATAATTTATTTGAATAAGAATTCAATAACATATTATATCTATATGCACAATCCTAATGCCAGTCTTGGATCTCCTCTCTCTCTTCTTTCTCAATTTTAGGTCAAATTAACAAACTAACAAATTAGATGCCTCTATTTTTTGGATGTGCATATAAAAATTTAAAATGTATTAAGACAATAAAAAGAAGAAGAAAGTCCAAGATATACAGTGGGACAAAAAAGAGGAGAAAGAAGTCAAGGGCTTGCATTGGAATTGAGACTTGTATTAGAATAAGAAAGAGAAGAAGTCATTTTTAAATCTATTTTTGAGAAATAAGCAAAGCAATCAATTTAAGGCCTTGAATGTGCATATAGATATAATGGGTATGCATATAGCAATTTGGGATGTA